CAGGGTTTAGTGGTGGGATGTCAGGGTTAGGTTAAAGGTTGGACTCGATGATCTCAAAGGTCTTTTCCAACCAAAGTGATTCTATGATTCTATGACACACAGCCAGCACGGACCCATTGCAAGAGAGCGGGTAGTGCAAGCAAGCTACGACCTGATTGCCATTACAGAAACTTGGTGGGATGAATCCCAGGTTGGAAGGAACCTCAAGGAACATCTGGTCCAATCTTTCTAGGCAAGAGCACAGTCATCACTCCAGTCACGGCGTAATTGAGGTTGGAGAGGACCTCTTGTCAACCCCCCTGCTCAAACCAGGGCCAACTTCACAGTGTGGTTAGATTGCTGAGGGCTGTGTCTGGTCAAGCTCTGAATGTCTCTGAGGACGGTATCCCACAGCCTCGCTGGGGAGCACTTGTCTGATTGCATGGGGAATTTGTTTTCACTCACAACCAGGAGGAATTTCTCTTGGTGCAACTTATACCTCTTGGCTCATGGTCTTTTACTCTGTACCATTAAGAAGGTTGCCTTTATCTTCTCTATAACTTCCCAGTAGTCAGTCAAAGACAGAAATTAGATCTTCCCATCTTCTTATATTCTCCAGGCTAGCCAAACCTAGCTCCCTCAGCCTCTACTTGTAGGGCACCTGCTCCAGCCTTCCCATCTTCTTCGTGGCCTCCTCTGCATTTGCTCCAGTATGTCCATGTCTGACCTGGACAGGGTGCTCAGGATGTTGTCTCACAGCTGCGGGGTAGAGGGGGAACCAGAACCAGAGAGGACCACCCGGACCTCCCAGGCCTCCTCTGCAAAGCTGTCTTTAGCCAGTCAGCCTCAGCCTGCTGTGTGTGGGGGTGTCAATGGCCACCTTATCTTGGCAGGCTTCACAATTGCCTTAAGTCCCATTTTTAGGCTTTAAATGATTTGGTGTGTCTAGTCTTGAGTGACTTCATCAAAATGAAGCTGAGTCAAGACTTGGGCTTCTTGTGTCTTTCACCTAAGAGGATGCACCTTCGTCGAAGGCTGAGAGATTTGAGGAGTGAGCTCCGACTCGGCGTTGGAGGCTCTTGGCTGCCAGTCATCCTTGTTGGTGGTCTAAGGGTGTGCTTTAAAAAGCAGACCCTGGAAAGCATTCATGTGTGAAATGTTCTGTTGTTCATCAAAAATACAGGGACTGAGTGTTTTGGCCTAGAAATGGAAGCAAGCTGATGTCCTTTTTATTTTCTATTGCGTGAGTGGAAGACAAAGTTTCAGCAATCTCATGCCTTTTCAAATGCTACTGTGATTTAAAATAACCTTTAAACCAAAAATGAAATCTCGTTAGAAAATGCCATCCTAATTTGGAGCAACAGTTTCATAATTTGTTTCTGTGCTACTAAATTAAATGTTTTGTAGAGTAGAATGAAGGTAACATTTACTTAAAATCCATTCACTATTAACAGATATCATTGCTTGCATTATTCCAAATTTTGGAACAGGTTTTGTTTCTAATTAATCAAGAGACTCTCAAGCTTTATTCTTGTTATGCAAATCAAAATGTAAGCGTCTGAAGAATAATTTTTAAGCGTGAGCTGCTTTTCAGTGTGGATGTTTGAAGCACGCTAATCTGTTCAGATTGTGGATGACGGGCTTCCTTTAATAATCCCATGCGCCTCTGCCACCACACCTCTAGTTTTTAAAAACTATCAAAACCCCCAGTTTTTTCAGAACCGCTATGCTGATAGTCCACCTTACACAGTACGCTGTGGTGGTTACAGCGGTGTTTGACTGGTGCTTGGGGAAGGGACTTGGGAGCAAAACTCTCTTATGAGGCCAGGCTGGGAGAGTTGGGGGTGTTCAGCCTGGAGAAGAGAAGGCTGCGGGCAGAGCTGAGTGCGGCCGGTCAGGGCTTCAAGGGGGCCCAGAGGAAAGGGGGGGACAAGGTTTTTAGTAGGGCCAGCTGGGACAGGACAAGGGGGGATGGCTTTAAACTGAAGCAGGGTAGGGTTAGACTGGATCCAAGGAAGAAATTCTTTCCAGTGAGGGTGGTGAAACCCTGGCAGGGGTTGCCCCGAGAGGGGGTGGAGGCCCCATCCCTGGGAACATTCCAGGCCAGGTTGGCTGGGGCTGTGAGCAACCTGATGTGGTTCAAGGTGTCCCTGCTCCTGCAGGGGGGTTGGGCTGGGTGGCCTCTAGGGGTCTCCTCCAACCCAAATCATTCTGTGATTCTAAAACTCATGTGATTCTTCCCCCAAAACTGTCCTTGTTTCCAATCCCTTTGAAAAGAGCCTCGGAAGGGGAGCATGGTCACACTCCCTTGGATATCAGTGGTCATGCTAAGACTTGAGCACCTTCTTCTGCATTTCACTGAATCATGGGCCTCAAAGAAATCTGATGAGTTGATGTTTCGATAGTTACTCACACAAGACTTTGCAAAAATTGGGTTAAATTCGTGGATGAGTAATTAATCAAGCACTACTTAAAGCTTTATTTTTATTTTGTTTTAAGGAAGGAAGGCTGCTGGTAAGGTTCCGAAATTATTTCAGTTGAGGCTGGGTTGCAGATGGGAAGGTGCTGTTGCTGTGTGCGTGCAGATTGGCTTGGTACAGGTGTAATTAGGCAAGTTGTTCCTGCGGGTACCAGCATCGGTGCCTGTGTTGTAGCTGTTGGAGCCAAACCAGGACGTACCTTTGAAGCACAGGGGCTGGACTTAGAGAAGCAACGTCATCTTGGTTGCCAGCCCTCCGCGTAGTGCACCTTCCCTCGAGAGCTCGCCGGAAAACCGCTTATCACCTCATTGGACGTTGAGTGTTTTTAACTAACACTTAGTAACAACAGCTGTTGTGTTTATTGTTTTGTTTCCTTTTTTTTTTCCTTCTTCAATGTAGTTGTACCTTCAGAGAAAGCTCATAACAGACCATAGTAAAACCTTGCAAACAGGAATCATAGAATCATAGAAAGTTTTGGGTTGGAAGGGACCCCTAGAGGTCATCCAGTCCAACCCCCCTGCAGTGAGCAGGGACACCGCTAACTAGATCAGGAATGTACTTCTTCCTGATGGTATAAAGCCTAAATTAATTAATTAGGTGTACTCACATTCCAAGGACTATTATTATTTCTTCCCTGTTTGAGTGAATTCTGTTGTGGAGATCTCATTTTCTTTGAGCTGATGCTCTGGGAGTAATTACATGATATCTGTATTTTAATCAAGAGAAGTGTGTTCTAAAGCCCATGATGAATTTACCTGCTTGAAGTTAAGTGCGTGTAACTGAAAGAATGGAATATGCATTAAAATACCGAATTAAATTGTTGCTTTAAAGGAAAACAGATGCATGCACACGATCTATGTTCTAGTGGATCCTACCATTAGGGTGCAAATTAGTCTGTCTTTTTATTTCCAAAGCTTTATAAACTATTTTGTCTAAGCGACATTTAAATTAAAATCATACATAAGGAACAAGAAGCGCGGCCAGCAGGGCGAGGGAGGGGATTCTGCCCCTCTGCTCTGCTCTGGGGAGACCTCCCCTGGAGCCCTGCGTCCAGCTCGGGAGCCCTCAGCACAAGGAGGACATGGACCTGTTGGAGCGGGGCCAG